ACCACATCTTCTTCCACTCGGAGCCTCCATTCTCCACGCTGCACCATCGACAGTTGCACGCGTCACGCCCCTGCACGTCAACCTCACGAAGCGCAGCCAGGTAATAAGTTTGCTGCGTGTGGATCTTGCACGCGCACTGGTCTGTCTTCGGGGAAGTCAAGCACCTGCACCGCGTCGAGAGGAACAGAGTGCGGCCGGGGTCCGCCAGGACCTCGCCGTTCTCCTCCTTCCAGACCCTCTTGAAGTTGATCCAACCTGGCCACACCAAGAACTTTTCGTAGACTGCCTCACCCTGTCCCTCCACGATGAGCTGCCGACGAGGGTGTCCTTTCGCACTGGGCGACTTGGATTCCCGCCAGATGTCCTTGGAGTTCCCCGATGCACGAGATACCTCGTCGGTGTGCCAGAATGTTCCCATGAGCTCCAGCATTTCTGGAGGGGTTGCGTCGCTCCTCTTGGTCCGGGAGTGGAAGTAGTACGCCTTCTCGTCGATTGCCTGAAGTGGAGGGAGCTCAGGCCTCAGCGCTGTCACCCGCCGTCGGGCGACGACGAGGTGCTCTGGGTGAACGCCAAAGATCTCGGACTTGCGCTTGGCTGTCACCTTCGAAGGCCCGTCTCCATCGTACGCAACAGCCGTGAGCAACGTCTGGAACGTTCTCCTTCCCTCTTTGGTTCGCCCTTGGATTGCGGCATCCTTTAAGGCTCTACGACATGCCGGTTGGAGCTCCCTCGCTTCCTCCAGCTGCTCTCGAAGCTTGTCAGCGGCGGGCACCTTGAGCTCTGCCAGACACCGCAACAACTCTGTTGTGGTCATCGCTCTCATGGCCGCCACGAATGCTGGCGAGGTGTCACTCCACTCGAATTGCTCTGGTGGCTGGAAGGTTTGAGCGGCAGGGTGGGTCAAGTGCAACGTACAGCAGTGGGGGCATTTGGAAACGTCAGCGCTGGGGTAGCAGCAGAAGAAATCAAGAATGAAAGCCTGTGATTCAATTTTTACTTCGATGCGAATACCAAATGTACACTCGCCGTAGACAGCAATCGGAAGTTGCGCCAGTGGTGGCATACAACGCATCGAGCGAGAGCAATCCACAACTCTGGAGGTAGAGAAGAAGTCTCGCATCACAGCGAACACTCGTTGTTACCTTCAGCAGTCGGCAGGCATCTACGGTAAAGAGAGCAGACAGCAGTCTACAACCAAAGGTGGTACCAGTACATGCAGGCAACCTTTCAGTTTTGTTTTCCCATACAGCAGTACCCTCAAGGTTGTTGTTTTTTCATCTAGTACAACAGAAGAGGAGAGGGGTTCAAGAGGGGATAGCGAGAGAAAGACAGCAGACAGACCCAGCAGCACCCAGCAGCAGCAGATTCTTACCTCTTCCTCAGGGGGGCGATCGGGAGCAGTCGGCCTTGTAACGCCAGCACGAGTCTTCCGCGGCAACGCCGCTCTCACTGGACAGCTCATCTCGCTGTCTGCCCTCCTGCCGGTGTTGCCGCATCTTCGCACGCCGCTGCTAGGCTGCAGTGTTTTTTCGTATCTGTCCCTTCTCGTCTTCAAGATTTCCTCGGCCTTTTCCCTAGCTTTCGAGCATAAGGCATCCTCGTCATCCTTGGGGTAGGCCACAAGCTGTACGACAACGCGGGTATCCTTCCGCTGGTCCATCAGCTTGGTGGTGAGCTTGAGGCCTAGGTCGTGTGGAACCCATTGGTGCGTTACTTTCCACTGCTTGTCTCCCAGCGGTACGATGCGGATGCAGTTGCCCGCTGGGATGCCAGCTCCAGCCCCAGCCCCACTCATATATGGCCCCCTCCCGCGGCCACTTTTGGTCAGACCAACTTTCTGAGTGGCTCTACCCCCCCTAAATCGGCCAAGCGGAGTCGATTGCCGAGGAGAAATGGAGGCGGCGAGATCGGGAATGCGCCGAAAAAAAAAGTTCGGCATGATCCGAACTGATTTTTTTTTATTTCTCTTTTTTCTATGCGCTGAAACGTCGTTTTAGACTTAGAACCAAAAGCGTTTTTTTGAAAAAAGTTTTTTTCGCCGCGGGAGACCCAATTCGTCTTGACCGCGGAACCCGCCTACGATCTGTATACACATCTCCGCACCCGTCCACCAGCAGAACTCCCCCGTGTAAGATAATCATTGTTGCCCTTGGCGTTCAGTTGGCATGATGTACGGGCATCGAATGGCTACAAAAACACGCGGGACTCCGGGCGAAGCCGTGCCCACCGATTTTCATCGCGAATAGCTGGAAGGGAGGGATGTACTCCATGTACGTGCGTCCCTTTTTGTCACCCGCTCGTCAACAGGCAGTTAGTCGAGGTCTGACGGAACAATTGCGACAGTTGGGGTCCCAGGCTTGACGCAAGGTCTTGTGTCGTCAAAACGGCATGTAGTCATCAGCACCTCTCTCTGTCGGTTGGGCATGCATGCGAGAACGCGCCGCCGCCCCAGAAACTCTTGTTTTGCCCCCACGCCCGAATGTTATTTCTTACTTCCTCTCGCAAGTTGGGTATCCCAGCAACGAATATGCAAGTTACACATGCAGGATTCATCGCGCGCACCTGTCTGTTCCAATGGCCGAACTACATACGAAAGCTACTTTTTGTTTCGAACCTTAGTTCTCGCTGCAACTTCCGGGTTTGCAAGTGGTGGCGTTGCGTACTGCATTCCTTCCGTGAAGCTATTAACAGATGCATACTGCAGTCTACTCTGCTCTCGACACCGCGTGTCCCAACGTTTATTCTGCAGCACTTGCCGGTTCGCGTGTGCTCTCTCGGAATCAACCCAGCAGCACCCTTTCTAGCGATCAAACAGCCTTCCCGACTACTCCAAACAGCCCCCCCCCCCCCCCGCAACACCACCTAAATACTGCGTGTAGAAGCAAAAACGCTATATCGTACACACAACATGTTCTGGGCCGATTCACTAGACCCCCGTGTGTGCTCGTGAGAGCCAACATCACATCCATTCTACGTTTTTCTAAACTTTGGCCCCTCTGAAGAAACCTCTAATACAATCTGGAACTAACGGCAACAGCTCTGAAAAAGGGGTTGGCTGCTCTTTTACACCAGCCAAAAGTTCAATCTCTCCGACGATGATAAAATGCCGTCACAGTAATTTCTCAAGTTCGATTTGGGCAGACAAGAGTCTCGCTCTCACACGACGATCGACATTACATTATCTGTTCGATCGATACATTCATTGATCAATATACTCCCGAACAGCCACCATCTATCAGGACCGTACGGTTGCTAGCGTGGGTGCCCAGTCGGGAGTCTAAACACCTACTGCCTCTGCCACCTCTTGCACCACCGAGCCACGTTGGTGGGGGCGGCAATGACGTTCTTCTCCAGCGCGCGCTCCACCTGCTCGATGTCGAAATGGCTCCGGAACCGGCAGTGGAGCACGGGGTGCGCCTCGCGCCCGCCACCGCTGAAAAAAAAACAACGGCAAACGGAGGGGGGGGGGGGGGGGGGTTGACTCTGATGCACGACCATAGCCATTACACAAAATATCCTCACATCCGGTCGACTGAGACTTGATGTACATAGCACCGTGATTTGTTGAGCAACGGTGCGGGCGGACTTCAAAGTCTCTGATCCTTGATGCCCGGGGCCTGGGGCTTGCCCACTCGGCGCAAGTTTTTTTCTAGCCAGAAGCACCGTTCCTACCCTTTGACTAAAGTTGTCATTTCCGCGAGGGAAGATAAGCCGCGAAGAGTGAAACAATTGTCTGGGCCTAGAGAAAGTGTGGGGGGTCAGGAGAAAGAGGGTACGGTGTCTTCCGTGTGCGGCCGGGGATAGTCTACCTATCGGGGCAGCAATCCACCCACGGTGCCCCTTCGGTCATACGCAAGAGCTGTAGTATGTACGTATTTTTACAGAGTACTGCGTTTTAATTCGTCAGCAATCGCAGCCTTGCCCACCCACCCCCACCTCCCCGGTAAGTCAAGAAGTAGTCAACAAGAAGCTTCTCTCTCTCTCACGTTCCAGGCTCTGCCGATCGCAGAGCGCCTTGCTCCACCAGCTGGCTGAAGGCTTTGAAGATCACGGCACGAGAGAAGCGTAAGTGGCACGTTCGAAACTCCCGCAGGTACGACCCGTACCTTTTGGGGGTGACGCGGGGGCAAGGGGTGGGGGTGGGTGGGCATATGGGTCTCAGATGGTGAACTACAGATTCGTCGAAGAGCGTGCAGTGTACAGGCAACAGCTTAGCGTTCACCTAGTGCACTTGATGTTGCAAGACGGGGGGACAGGCATGAATGGGAAGAACTAGGGTGCAACTAAATAGCACATCGCCCCACTCGAAGAATGGAAAACACAACGAGCACGTAAAATTATTTGGCAACTACCCCGAAACCAATGGACCTGGCACTAAACAGCACATGGCACCACTCACTCTCGAAAAACGGCCTCGAACGAACAGCCGTCCTTCTTGCGTCCCCTACGCTCCAACCTCACCATCGCAACCAGCACAAGGGCCTGCCGTAGGATGGTGGAATTTTTCGACGAAATCAAAGCAGAAGTGCGTCTCAAAGAGTGGCGATGCGCGAAATCATTAGAAGTACGAACACGCGGGTGGGTGTAACCGAAGCTTGCGGCGACGACATCTTAGGGTTTGTCAGCAGCAGGTGCTCTCGTTAGAGAGCGCGCGCGAACGCCGTCGCAACCAGGTGAGAAAACAATCGTCTAGATGCCACAACACCAACACAACACGATCATCACAATGGCGACAACAATACCGTAACTACAACAGCAGCAGCCCCAGCAGCAGCAGCGCGACCAAAAAAATATATATATGAGGGGTATCGCGGCGGCAGCTGACAACCCCCCTTCTCTCCCTGCGTCCCTGCGTCCGTCCGTTCTTCTCCCTTCCTCCCTCCGTCCGACAAAAAGCCGCAAATCCCTCGTTCCCTCCCTCCCTCCCTCTAACCCCACTCCACGCACCCACCTGGGTCACCGACAAGCTCCGGAGCGCCAGAGAGTGCGAGTCGGGCGCGAGCATCTCCCCCGCCCTCGCCAGCGCCCTCCGCGTCACCCCCTTCTCGTCGTCCCTAAGCAGCCCCACCGCCGTAGACGCCAGCCTCAAGAGCCACCCCACGCTCCTCCCCGATGCCGCGAGATCCTTCAGATCCGGCAGGGCCGAAGAAGCGGATCGCTGCGCGCCGCCGCCGCCGCCGCCGCCGCCGCTGTTGGCGGCGGAGGAGGTGACACCGTTCTTGGCGCCGCCGAGGGTCTGCCGGGTGACGGCGTTGAAGTCTCGAGCGAAAGCGGCGGAGACACCGGGGGGTGGCGGGGGAGATTCGCCGCCCTCGTCGTCGTCGTTTTCGTCGTTTCCTCCGGGCAACGTGAGAGCGCCCGCAAGGATCGAAACGATGGTGTCGAGGGCCTGGCGGGGGAAGCCTATCTGTTGGTATGGCGATGAGGTGTTGGGGGAGTGGGCGTTAGGTTGGGGTAGACCAGTAGTATGCACCGATTGTGCTATGGCTTACCGTCTTCACCCTGTCCAACCCCCTTTTCATCTCTATACTTCTCCCTCTTCCCCCTTTCTCCCTTCGAAAACCTTCCACTCCCCCTCCCCTTGTCTTTTCGGTACAAACAACGTGCTTTGCTGTGTGTACAATATCCCTCTCGCACTATCTCTCCTCTTACTCTCTGCCAAACCTTCCACCCGCCCCCCCCCCGCCCCCCCGTTCGTTCGTTTTCCCTTCGGCACCCCCTCTTCATCCACTCTGTACGTCTCTTCCGTCGTGCCTCTGACCTGCCGGAAGGAGAATCTGGACTTGACTCTCTTCTCTGCCACGTCCAGGACGTTCAGGTTGACCGAAAGGCCCACCACAGCCGCGCAAATGGTCTTATCCTGGTGGTAGGGTATCGTGAGGGAGAAAGTCCGCCTAATGTAAAGGGGACGGGGTCTTACCTCGATGGGGGGTTGTGGGCAGAATGTTCGTCTTGTGCAATTGGGAGGGAGTTATTATCCTGGGAGCTATCTTCCTCTTGCGAAAAAGGGGCGGGGGTCTCATCCTGGCGGCGGGGTGCTGCGGGGAGGAATGGTCGTTTTGTGTCAACGGGAGGGGGTCGTATCCTGACGGGGTGATGTGGGGAGAATAGCCGTCTAATGAAAAAGGGGAGGCGGTCGGCCAACGAATGGTACAAGGAAACAAATCATGACTACATTTGAGTGTAGATCGAATAACTATGAGTGGAATCGATGGCGCCATCGAAGGCGCGGTCGGCCTAACCGAGACTGGTCGCCGAAAAAAACAACTGGGGGAAAGGTGGGGTTCGATGATAAACTAAACAGAAACACACGGGAGTCCTACGATCCAGCTGTGCGCGCGGGCAAAAAAGGGCCACCAGGAGACTCTACTATATACCGATTACCGGTCCCATTTCACCAGGAATTCAAACAAAAACAAGACGCACGGACGTATGTACCAACCGACGTCGGCTAAGAATGGCCAAAGAGCAACGAAAACGCCGTCGCCGAATCTAAAAAAAGCACGTGTGAGTAAACTCACTAGTGCGCTGGCTCTGTGAAGATAATTTCTGTTGAAAAAACGAAAAAACGACAAAAAAAGCACACATGGGACACCTGATAGCACAAAAAAGTGGGTTACGGCTGAGAGGGATAGATGCATGGCGAGGAAGCCTGTGCGATGATTTTTTCTTTGGCTTCGCGTTGCTCGCAGGCTCTCACTCTCCTACGATTTTGCAATTTCAACAGCAGGCCCGCGATCCTGCGGCAGAAAAATACAAGAGCAGTAGCACAGCTGGATGACTCCGGCGTGATAGTACACATCAATTGATCGTCGAAGACGCGGACGAGCACCATGAAAATTACGATGGAAATGTAGAAGCACCGAGAGCGTACGCTCCACCACTTCATACACCGAAACGAGCAGCAGCACGAAGGTATCATCGGCCGAGCACGAGCAGCAACCAACTACGAAGTGCGGCGTGACATCCTCAGCGAACCTACCTGACACAGGTCGAGCAAGGCGTAGAGCAGCGTCTGAGGCTTCCGGCAGGCGAAACGCTCGAACTCATCTAGAACGAAGACCACGGGCACTCCGTTAACTGCGCCCGTCTTCATCGAGTCTACCATCATCGCGAGGTTGCTGTCGAACGGGGGTCGAGAACAAGCCGGGGGTAGGAGTAGCGAGAGTGCGGGGGGGGGGGGGCATAGTGCGAAAAAGGGAACGGGAAAACAAGGGAAAGGTGGAGGGGGAACGTGAAACGGCTTGGTGCAACCCGCTGCGGGCGATCTTCATGGAACAAAAAAAGCTGAAAGCCCGACTTTTACTACTAAAAGGAGGAAACATAAAGCAAGTCCCCAAAAAAGGCCCCCAGGGGGTAAGCAATGCCCCGGGACAGTCGTGGTCCGAAGTGAAAAAAATGTAAATGTACCACCCAAGCATCCAACTTTTGGGAACCGTCCCCTTGAACGAGCAGCCAAAAGCGGCGGCGAGCAATAAA